TACAATTAAAAAATTTTCTGTTTGGACTTTATAATTGAAGAATTAGAAAGTTAATTAAAGAATTTTCTAGTTGGACTTTCCTGTAGATAAGTGTCTTGTTTGAGACAATTCATCTGAAGCTTTTTGTGTGTTGAAGGCACCTGGAGATTTTGTTCAAATGCAGCTGCTTGTTCAATAGATTCAGAGTGGAGCCTGAGATTATGCATTTCTAATAATTTGAGTAATGCCAATGCTGCTGTTTAGGGGATCTTAGTTTGGTTAGCAAGCATTTAGAATTTACTGATATTGTTGAAAAATGTTGTTATTACGTGCTGTCGAGTTGCTTGCGACTTCATAGCGACCCTATGTATGAGAGCCCTAAACCCGGCTCTATCCCACACCAGCCTCACTGTCTCTGACACACTTATTCCCATTACCCCAGTCACTGAATCAATCCATCTCATCAAGGGTCTTTCTCTCTTGCGCTATCCCTCCACCCTCCCAAACATGATGTTCCTCTCCAAGGACCAGTCTCTCCTTAAAACATGTCCAAAGTATGTCAAATGAAACTTCAGAATCCTTGCCTCCAGGGAGCAGCCCTGTTTCACCCTCTCTAGGATGAACCTTTTTATTCTCCTAGCAATCCATGGTATATTTAACACTCTTCTCCAGCACCACAGATCAGAGGCATTAGTTCTCCTTTTTTTTTTCCTTTCTCCTCACCTTTTCTTTTTTTTGTGTGTTCTGATTTTTTTTTACTGAGATTTTAATCAAAGTTTATAAAAAAACCTTGAGTTTCCATTCATTCGTTGTTGCACATTTTCCTTTCTGTCCCACTCCCTTCCAGTTCGCTTTAAAAATATGGAACACTTCATGAATTTGCATGTCATCCTTGCGTAGGAGCCATGCTAATCTTCTCTTTATTGTTCCAGTTTTAGTAGATGCGCTGCCAAAGTTATCACTCAATTCTCCTTCTATCATCCCTAGTCATTGTCCATCTCTATGTTGCATAACAAGCAATTATGAAGACTGTTGCCTTGATCAGGTGCGCCTTAGTCTCCAAACTGATGCCATTGCTCTTCAGTACCCTATAGAGGTCGTCCCTGACAGTTGACTTTCCCATGCAACTTGTCTTTTGATTTACTGGCTGCTGGTACCAAGTGTGTTGATTGTGGAGCCAAGCAAACTAAAATTGTTGACAATCACAATATCTTAACCATCCGTAATGATGCTGCCAATTGGCCCAGTGGTGAACATCTTTGTTTTCTCGATGCTGAACTTCAATCCATATTGAAGGCTGCAGTCCTTGTATACATAAGTTTTCCAAAGATTAAGAATACTTAGCAAACATAAAGCATTCACAAAAGTGGAATTTTTTTAACCTAAAAGTGTTCTGACCTAATGGAATTGTAACATTTTTTTAAGTATAAAATCAGCATTTTTATGGAAAAATAGTTTACAGTAACATAGTTCGTGTATGTAATAATTTTTTCCCTAATTACTTTTGCAGACAGTATTTAAGACTTTACCAGGGCAGAAGATCGCAAGACTGGAGCTAGGAGGGGTTCTCAACACACCTCAAGAAAAAATCTTTATTGCTGCTGGATCTGAAATTAGAGGCTTCACAAAGAGAGGGAAACAGTTCCTCTCTTTTGAAACAAATCTCACTGAAAGTATTAAAGCTATGTATGTTTATTATTTTCCTTTTCTTTTTATGAGTTCATTTATAGTATTTTTTGATAATTGTAAAGGAGCCCCAGTGGCCCAGAGGTTAAGTACTGGGCTGCTAAACAGTTGGCTGATAATGTGAACACACTAGCTGTAGGAGGATGATTTGAAGTTGGCATCTTGTTATTGTTGTATGCCATGGAACTAACTTGTACCTCACGCTTCAGCAGATTTACAAAGGCAGTAAATTGCATGGAAGGAAATTACCTGTCTTCTGTGGAGCAGCTGGTGGATTTGAACTGTGTGCCCCCTTTAGGTTGGCAGTATAGCCTTACCAGTAGGTCACCAGAATTCTCTCCATGAAGACTACCTTGTGTAATCTTTTGAAATCCTATAGTACCATTCTATCCTATCCTGTAGAGTTGCTATAAGTCAGAAGTAACTCTATAGTACTGAGTTTAGAAGGACTTTATTTATCAGAAATCATACTTTGAATCAATCTAACTTTGCTGGTTGTTAAAATGTTACTTTCTAAGATAATGTATAATATTTATATATTCACTTTTTTACTTTTGGTTCAGATATGAAAGGAATGGTAGAAATATTCAGATTTAGGTTTCTTATCCTTAAGTGTCTCTTGAGAGTCCTGTTTTTTTACCTAGCATCATTTTGTTAAAAGGTCAGCTATTGCTTTCTGCTGGAAAATGCTGCTCAGGAAGCATCACTAAAGTGTTTATTCCCATGTCAAAATCAGAGTCTCCTAAAGAGCCCAAACAGCTTCACAAACTATTCATTGGAGGGTTGAGCTTTGAAATGACAGATGAAAGCCTGAGGAGCCACTCTGAGCAATGGGGGATGCTCACGGACTGTGTGGTAATGAGAGATCCAAATACCAAATGTTCCAGACGCTTTGTCTTTGTCACATACTCAGCTGTGGAAGAGGTGGATGCAGCCGTAAATGCAGTGCCCCACAAGGTGAATGGAAAGGTTGTAGAACTGAAGATGGTGTCTTGGGAGAAGATTCTCAAAAGACCAGGTGCCCACTTAACTGTGAAAAAGATCTTCGTCGGTGGAATTAAAGATACTGATCTATCAGATGCTCAGCTGAAGAAGGAGGGGCAGTTTCCTCCTGTACCAGTCAGATCCGATTTGACGGTACACACATACACCAAAAAATAAGATTAAAAAAAAAAAGTTACTGAAGCACATCACTTAGGAGATTATTTTGAGCAGTACTGGAAAAATTGAAGTGATCAAAAACTGACTGAGGCAGTGGCAAGAAGAGGGGCTTTGCTTTGTAACTTTTGATGATCGTAATTCTGTAGATAAAATCGTTATTCACAAAAATCATACTGTGAATGGTCACAACTGTGAAGTGAGGAAAGCCCTGTCAAAGCAAGAAATGGCCAGTTCCTCTTCCAGCCACAGAGGTTGAAGTGGTTCTGGAAACTTTGGTGGTGACTGTGGAGGTGTTTTTTGGTGGGAATAACAACTTTGGTTGAGGACAAAACCTCAGTGGACGAGGTGGCATTGGTGGCAGCTGTGGTGGTTATGGAGGCAGTGATGATGTTTATAATGGATTTGGTAATGATGGTGGTTACAGAGGAGGTGGTCCTGCTTACTCTGGAGGAAGCAGAGGCCATGGAAGTGGTGGATAGGGTTATGGAAACCAGGGCTGTGGCTGTGGCTGGAGTGGCAACTATAACAATGGAGGTGGCTTTGACAGTGGTCGTGGAGGCAGCTTTGAGGTGGTGGAACCTATAATGATTTTGGAAATTACAACAATCAGTCTTCAAATTTTGGACCCATGAATGGAGGAAACTTTGGAAGCAGAAGCTCTGGCTCTTATGGTGGTGGAAGTTAATATTTTGCCAAACCAACGTGGCTATGGTGGTTCAGGCAGCAGCAGCAGCTATGGCAGTTACAGACAGTTTTAGTAACTGCCAGGAAGCAAAGCTTAGCAGGAGAGGAAGGCCAGAGAAGTGACAGGGAAGCTACAGATTACAACAGATTTGTGAACTCAGCCAAGTACAGTGGTGACAGGGCCTAGCTGCTACAAAGAAGACATGCTTTAGATAATATTCATGTGTATGGGCAAAAAACATGAGGACTGTATTTGTGACTAATTGTATAACAGGTATAAGAGGTTATTTTAGTTTCTGTTCTGTGGAACGTGTAAAGCATTCTAAAAACAAGAGTTTTAATGTAGATGTTTGGGGTTTTTTTGCACCCATGCTGTTGATTGGTAAATGTAATAGTCTGATCATGACACTGAATAAATATCTCTCTTTTTTTTTTAAAAAAAAAAAAAGTTCAACTCTCCATTTCCCAAATAACATGCCTCCGGAAAGTCTATGAACTTTGATAAATGTCGATAGTTGTTGAGGAGCTTCAGGCCTTTCATTCATGAGTCATGCTCGACTTGAAGGCAATCAACAACAAACAACAGCATTAGCATTCATGAATACTAATAGGGAGAGGAATACTATTAGGATGAATACTAATAGGGCCTAGTGGTGAGAAGCTTCATTGCAATTCCAAAGGCCATGGTTCTAAGCCGCCAGCCATTCCATAGGAGAAGAAATCTCCTCCCCCCCACCCCCCCCCCAAAAAAAAGAAATCTCCCATCTAATACACTGCCTCTGAAAACCTGCTGGAGGGTCAGCTGTGGGTCAGTTACAACTTGATGGTACATAACAATAGGATATAGAATGCTCTGATGGCATAATGGGTAAGGAATTGACCTCCTATCCTAAAGCAGTTTGAATCTACTGCCTGCTCCAAGTGAGAGAAATGATCAGTCTCCTGTGAAATTTACAGCCTCTGAAAACTCACGAGAGGGTTAGATACTAGTTGGTTCCTATTTAGTGGCAATGGGTTTTAAATAAGGTATATTTTCAGGTGATCAAGTAAGATTCTTAAATGAAAAGTATTTTCTTCAAAGGCTTTCTAATGTTTGGAATTTTATAATAACATTTTTAAGTTTTGAATCATGGAGAAATATAAAAAGCAAGGTTGGTTTTAGATGTAAGCTATATTTATTTTTAACTTACGTTTACATTCAGTGAAGGAGCCTTGGTTACATAGCTGGTAACATCATGCTGTTAACCAAACTGTTGAAGGTTTGAATTACCAGGTGTTCAGAAGTAGAGACTTTTATGGGAAGTCACCTCTCATAAAAATACACAGCCTCAGAATCCAGATGGAGGCTTGCTATGAGTCGAACTGACTCAACAGTAAATCTGATTTTACATTCAGAAGGGTATGTAGCTAAAAATGAGAGAAAGATAAGGAGTTTCTGAATCAGTAATCTATTTAATTAGTTTCTGAAGTAATTTTACTGATGTGACACAATTGGGATGTATCACACACACCTTAGTCTCCAGAGAGACACCATTGCTCTTCAGTACTTTAGAGAGGTCCCTAACAGCCGACTTTCCCATCACAATACGTCTTTTAATTTTCTGGCTGCTGGTGCCAAGAGTGTTGATTGTGGAGCCAAGCAGACTAAAGCTGTGAACAATCTCAATCTCTTCACCATCCATCCTGATGCTACCAATTGGTCCAGTGGTGAGAATTTTTGTCTTCTTGACATTGAGCCTCAGTCCATACTGAAGGCTGCAGTCTTTGACCCTCAGCAGCAAGCGCATCAGGTCCTCCTCAGTTTCAGCAAGCAGGGTTGTGTCATCTGCATACCACAGATTGTTGATAGATAGATCTTCCACCAATCCTGATGCTGCATTTCTCATAGAGCCCAGCCTCCCGGATGATCTTTTCTGCATACAGGTTGAAAAGGTATGGTTCAGGACACATCTCTGGCATACGCCCTTTCCAATTTTGAACCATTATTTGAACCAAATTTTGAAGAAGTTACTTAATAGTTTAATTAGTTGGTATTAATTAATTAATTAATTGGTGTTACCAAGTAATACTTTACTCACCTATAAAAAGGAACAATGTAATTTATAGGAAAATTAGTTGTTGTAATATGACATCGAATCAGAACCAACCCATAGCTGACACTTCAGCAGCATTACAGAGGCAGTTAATCAAATGGGAGGAGAAGATTCATCTTTTTCTCTCTCGGGGAAGCTGGTGGTTCTGAACCCTTTAGTTTTGCGTTGGTGGTGCAATTCCTTATCATTAAGCAACTCGGTAGTTGTTAATTTAATACTTAAATGAATTCATATTTGTAAATTACTTAGGACTGTAATTGGCACATAATACACATATTTTCTACAGTTATGGAAAGTTAAATTGATCTTCTGTATTCTTGTTCTCAGTTTTCCCCAACTCATTTTTTATTGAGGAGCTTGAAACTTACAATACCTTTTTTCACCTTTAAAAATCAAAATAGCATTATGCTGAAAAGGTTAGAAGAAACTGAGTGGAAGAAAGTTTTTTTAGACTGTTCTCTTTAATGGTAATGTAATAGACTATTAATAAACTTGTTTTCATTTCTGGAAAAACAAAAAGATGAGAAAATTATGGGAAAAAAATCTTGAAAAAATCTCTTGCTGATTTTAAATGCATGGATATATTAAATTGCTGTTTAATGTTTTCAGGCACATATCTGGCTCAGACCTCTTTCTCAGTGCAAATTATATCTACAACCATTATTGTGACTGCAAGGACCAACATTATTACCTTTCTGGGGACAAAATCAATGACATTATCTGCCTTCCAGTGGACCGATTACCGCGTATTACACCAGTATTGGCCTGCCAAGATAGAGTTCTTAGAGTTTTACAGGTGCTTGTTACTTGCATTTTCATAATTTTATATAATTTTGGCAAATAATTATGGGTGAACAGTGTTTCATTGAGATAAACTTTTAGTTGCTGTTGTGTGCTGTCAAGTCAGAACTGACTTATAGCAGACCGTCCAGTGGGCTTTCAGAGGCAGTTAATCACATGGGAAGAGATTGCCTGTCTTCCCATGGAGCTGCTGGGCAAATTTGAACCAGAGATCCCTGGTAGCCTAGTTATTTAGTTATTAGTACTACTTTAATTGTCTAAAACGGAAATTTGGTATTAGAAAAACATTTAATAAATTTAATTTCTTTGTACTTGGGTCAGATGTATTGTAGTTGGACAGTTTTTGGAGAGACATAAATGGACAAAAAGCTATCTGCCTCTCACATCCCATCTGTGATACCTGAACTAGTACTATCAGAATAGACTAGAGACCTCATCTGAAGGTTTCTATAGTCTAGAATAGTCTGAAGGTCTCTAGAGACCTTCTCCAGTCGTTATTCTTTTGTGTACTGCAATCATTCCTTTCCCCTAATCAAAGGATATTGGCTCGAAGAGGATGTTAGATGTTATTTTTTCATGTTAAATTTTAATGTAGTTTAAATCAGCGTTATAAAATTTGATTTTATCTAGTGTTTATGACAATGTAGGGAACAGAATTGCCACTCAGTAAATATTTATTGACTAAATAAACAAGTGATAGAAAAGAACAATCATTTGATGTCTGCATATTTCTGTTAAAAGGCAGCTGCTCAAGGTGATTTTTATTGTTGTTATGTGCCGTCGAGTCGCCTGCGACTCATAGCGACCCTATGTACAACAGCCCTAAACTCCGCTCTGTCCTGTGCCAAT